TATATTTATTTAAAGGTGATATATTGGGTACAATTTAATTAAAATTATAATTTTTAAATATAAAAAATATTTTATTATGAATAAAATAATTTTAATAATTAATTTTTAAAATTTTCGATGTATTATTTTTAAGTATCAATGGCTTTGCATTGTTGACTAAGTTAGGCTAATTATTAATTACTGAAATCTTCTCGTAGAACTATATTTTTTTTCAACCACAATTTAATTTGATTTCAATATCACTAATACCAACAACATATTCAGATTTAATTACAATAATTTTGAATATATACAATAAAATCATAAAAATTATTCTTTTCCACATTCTCCGAACTTGTAGAGTATGCTTGGCTGTTGATGGAAAAGGTAATTTTTTTGTTTTATTTATATTTTCATGAAATAAATATTTTTTAATTAAGCTAATTTTTTATTATATTTATTCCACTAAAATTTAAATATATATTTTTTATTTAAAATTTTAATATTTTTATAATTTACTTAAATAAATCTTCATATAATACAATCTTAATCCTACATCTAGAAGATTTTATTTAATGATAAAATTTAGGATAGAAAATTGTTTCACCATCCTTTTTACTTGTTTTAATTTTTTTTTTTTACTTTTACTTTGAATCTCATGTTATTTTAAAATAAATTAAATTAATTTTATCAAATTTATTAAACTATTTAATATTAACTTCAAATTAACTAGCATAAGAATTCTTAAATGTTAACATCTATGTTATATAACATATTTGTGATCTGACATGTTGATATACTATAAGCTTGACACAGATAATAAATTAAAATGAAATAAAAATAAATATAAAAGCATTTACGTAATTTATTATTATTTTTTAGAATAAGACGTTTAATATATTTAAATTTTCCGGCAAACACGTTTTATTTCGTTGCGAGGAGTTTACAATGTGTTAATATGAGCCAGTAGAAGAGACACACGTGTGCAGTGACAGACGATGTGGTCCCCAGCTATTACTGTTTATGTAAGGTTTGAAACAAAAATCTGTTCCCTCTGTTATGAATGCTGCCTTTTCTTTTTTTGTTTTTTTTTTTGTCAAGAAAAGTTTCTTTATTTCATCTGCCTCTCTGTATGTGGGCCACACTATTCATTGCTTCCACCTCATATCATTCATATTCCCTAACACTTCATTTACCATAACGCCCTTTCTGACTCCCTCAATTACCAAATTACCCTTTTATACTCCATCAATTACCAGTAGTATACTTTATATTATTGAAAAATAATCCCTTCCAAAATGAAATTAAATATTAACAAGGAGAGTTGACCAGACTTTGTTCTAAACAACATGTCATGACTAATTCAAATTTAATAATAAAGCGTATATTATTTTAAAACTCTTCTATATTTCATAACTGAACATATCACCTTTTTGCTCAAACAACTGTTCCAAACTTTCATTTTCATCTATTCACATACATGTCCATACATCGCGTCATCATAATTATACAACAAACGGGACGAGTTAACAGAATAAATATTTCACACAAACGATGTTAAATATTTAACGAATATATCAAGTCATTATTGGTGTAAGCTTTTGAACATAATCCCCAAAACTTTTTTTTTTTATATACAAGAGGTTTGAAGGGGAATCAAAATTATTCAAAAAATAATAAGAAAGTCGAAAAAAAAAAAACTACAACACATGTCACAGCCGTCATAGTCAATTGTTTGATTTCTACAACTTGAGACATGCTAAAAAAATTATCGCGCATATGTTAGATTGTCTAAGCCAAAATAAATTTTAACTTCATGCCTGTATTCCTCTATGATCCACAATAATTTGGATTATAGTCTCTTTAACAAAAGTACAAACTTTGTTCTAAGATTTTCAAAAACACAACCATCACTTTCGTGACAACACTAAACTAAGTTATTATTGTTCCAGATCCTCTTCCTCTAATGCATTTACAAGCAATATTTCATACACAAACATAAAAACATAACATATCGCCATAAAAACAACCTCAAAAACGTAATGAGGAAACATAAAAAATCAAATTCGCCGTCTCATTATTTCTTTATAGTTTTTTGTACATTTACGCTGGTTCAAAATACTATAAAAATGTTACATGTTTTCGGCCTACTTTATGAAATCATAAAAAAACGACTTGATTTATATTTTATTTCTAATCACCCCTTTAATCGTCATGATTATCACGTGCTCTAATGTTCTCATTTTAAACAAGGTCCCATCAAACAATTTTTATTTCAATTTGTGTTGCATTTTCATGACAAATAAAATAAAATGAATTTTGTTACACACATTTGCTTATGGAGATATTGTTTTGTGTATGATAATGTTAGTTACCGTGTCATATTCTACTAAGTGTCAGTATTTAATATGTTCAGATAAATACTATCTTTAATGAGGTTAGCAAAGTAGAATTTATACTTTTATAATACGTTTTTTTCTAACACTTTAAGAATACTAACGTTAAAACTTTATTTAAACTTTATATATATATATATATATATTTAGTGACTATTTAGTATTATAATTTTGAACTTAGATTTTAAACTATTATAATTTAATAATTAAAAGGTATATGAATAAATTTAAAGTATAATTGTCCTCACTAGCCCTTATTGTAACACCTTGGTATAATCATTTTAACGGTATCGGGATGATTCTTTATAATTTTTAATATAATGTTATAAATTTAACTTAATCTTGGTTATATACACAACTTAAATTCAAGTTGCTTGGATTGGATAGTGATACTTTAATATCATAATTTAAGTTTTAGGTTAATTTTATATTTACTAGTTTGGAAATGAAATAATTAGTACGGGGTCTCTTAAGTTAGGAAAGGGTGTTTTTTTCTTTTTAGGAGCAATGAGTGTGTTGAATGAGAAAGTGACATGTATTTAATTTTTGTGTTTGGATTGTTTTGTACAGGGTAATGTGATGGAAATATTTATAAGAAAACGACAAATTATTTAAGGGATATAAATGTAATTTGGGTTCAATAAGTACGTTGGTGTTGAAGTGGGGTATAGCAGGTCGCTTTCCACATCTCAAAATCAGTGGGTCCAGTGATTTTGTCGCAGTAATAGCTGTCCTGTATGTTTCAATCCAACGGTCCAAATACCATGGAATCCTTATCAACGTTCTTTATTTTATTGAAAAGACCAAATAAGAATATTTTTATCAATGAAACTAAACAAAATTAATCGTTATTATTATTATTATTATTATTATTATTATTATTATTATTATTATTATTATTATTATTATTATTATTATTATTATTATTATGTTTTTTAATTTTAAACGTCCAAACAGTGCTTCAATGTCCCATGTCTAGATTTATCTTTTATGTCCAAATTTTACAATATAAAAAAAAACATAGAAGTTTCTGGATGAACAGACTTCTAACCAAAAATATCTCTACTTTGAAAATGAATATATAATATATAATATACAGTATATAATAAAATAATCATAATAAATCTTTTAATAATAATGCAATAAAATACATTTCACTAATAATAAAAGATAAAGAAATGAATTAATCATCTCATATAGATAATATATTTAATTTTTTTATCAATTTATTTAATTAATTATGTAGAATAAGTTTTTTAATATAAAATAAATATTTTTTCTTTTTATTTCTTTTCTTTTATCTGTCTTATTTTTTTAACTAAATTATTATATCAATATTTCATAAGAATATATTAAAATATATTTTTAGAATTGATATTGAAAATAATAAAATATTTATTTTAAAATAATTTTTTTAATAACCGTAACATAATTTAATCGTAACTATAATATTTAATATTTTTTAATTTAATAAATACTTAGTTTATTATGACAATAATTTTAAATTAATTATTTATTATTATCATTAATAAAAATATTTATTATCATAATAAATGTAAATAATTAATTAACAATATTTTATTAATTTTTAAAAATATTTTAGCATGTTTTTATTAAATTTAATATAATTTTTAATTTGAAGAATAAGATAGAAAAAAATAATTAAAAAAATAAGTAAAAAGATTCACTATAAATAAACATTAAAAAAATAATTAAATAAATAAATTTATAAAAGTTTTATTGAAATAAATTTTCTTTTAGAATATATTATTTATAAAGATAAACTTTATATACTTTTTTATAATTTTTTTATACTAATTTTTAAAAATATAATAAAATTCAAAATTTACTGAATTTATATTTATTATATTTGTAAGAAAATGTGTTTGGTATCTTTCTGTGTCTAATTATCATTAACTTATAAAATTGATAGAACTAAGAAATAATTTGATATGTGACTTTATTCGGTATTTCAAACGAGATAAACGTGGGAAAATACTTTATATGTAAATGGGAAGACCTTTTGGTATTGGGATGAGTTATTAGATAAAATTGTTTTTCACTGATTTTTAGGAAAAGAAAAAAAAAAGGACTTATGGTAACATGTTTGACAAGAATCAGTGTATGAGAATGCGATAATAAACATAATTGAGATCAAATAAGTACTTAGACTAAGAGTATAATAATAATAAAATAGTTATTTTAAACCACATGATTATTTGAATGAGGTGTTGTAGGAGAATTTATAATTAATATAGAAAACCTGAACATATTCCAGATACATGAGGCAGCGTTAAAGAAACGTTGGTATGAAGCTCAATAATTGAAAATGACAAAAGTTGAAAGAGGTGGGGTCCACTGACAAGGGACATAGACACATTATTAAGGTAAAATAATGAGAAGAAAGGAAATGAATAAAATAAAAGAGGATGAAATATAAAAAATGAATTGTTGGGTATTTCTCTAGCAATCATCACCCACATAATTCCAAACAAAACCAGGGGCTTAGGCCCAACCACTCCATCAATTAATAATCATACCCTAACCTCTCTTTAGACTGGGTCTTATAAAGACACCAACCCACCACACACCCTTTCAGTTCCAACCCTTTCAACAATCCTGATCATGCTGGGAAAGAGGCCCCGCCCAATGATCGGAAAGTTGTCGGAGTTGTTGGTCTCAAGGGGCCGGGCGGCGGCGGTGCTTGTCGAGACCGCCGGAAGCCCAAGAGGCCCATTAGACATGAAGATGCAGTCTCCAAGAGGCTTCAAGAGCTACGACCTTGGTGGCGTTGGTCTGGGAATTGTGGTAGCTCTTGATAAATCATCCAACGATTCTGCACGTGAGGTTTTGCCCAAACACGCAGTTTGCACCTCCAACATCAACCCATCCGGTCCACTTCCAGATGAGTTTGATGTGGAGGAATACACCTATGTCACATCCCATGTTCCCAACAAAACATTCACCAAGGTGTACTACCATGGCGGTGAAGGTCAAATTCAGAGACATGCCTATTACAACAACAACAACAACAACGTTGGTGTGTTCAGAAGAACCACACCACAACCTTTAATCGACTCTAAATCATCGTATCCCACATCGGATTTTCTCAGCTCCTGCAACCTATGCGGGAAGAAACTCCAGGGCAAAGACATATACATGTACAGGTATTAACTTGATCCTCAAACAGAATTTTGGTTAATAAAACGTTGGTTTTGATTTATAATAATAATAATTGGGTTTTGTTTTTTTGCGATACAGAGGAGAGAAAGCGTTCTGTAGCCCAGAGTGTCGTTCGAGTCAAATAATGATGGATGAACGGAAAGAAAGGTGTAGGTCAGAAGCTTCAAGGTCCGTGGAAATGTCAAGTTCGCCTTACACAAGAGAACAAATATTTTCAACTGGGATTCTTGCGCTTTAGGGTTTGGTGGTGTCACGAATAAATTAATTAACCAGAGATTGATGATGCTACGACTCTATGAATAAATACTACGTACATAAAAAAAATAAAAAAATATAGGGGTATACTATTATTGACCATGATCTGGAATGGAGGAATATATGAGAGTTAATTAAGAGAGGTTGATCTGAAACAAAAAGAAAGGTTTTGATCGGCTAAAGGGTAGATATTGTGATGTATTTTTGTGTTATGGAATTTTAGAAGAAGGCAAGAGTTATGGAATTTTCAGTTCAGTTCCGCAGATTAAGTTTCTTCTGTTTCTGAGTTCTGCCTCTAAGATGAAATAACTCCGCCTGTTTCTCGCTTTTCCTTCTTCTTTTTCACTTTTTGTCCAAACACTGAATAAAGGGTAAAATTATACCACTACTTGTCACATTTTATTTTCAACAACCATCTTTAACACTTACAAAACTTTACACAAGAAATTACAAATATATTTTTCAAAAATTTAAATACTAAAAAACATTTTAAATTTTGAAGACTTAAAACCTCGATTAAGTCTATTTAAAAAATGAGTAAGACGTGTACTTATTCTATTATTACTAAATTTAACCTTTAAAAATTGTTTTTTCTCGTCACTTTAATCGTTCGTAAAAACAAGTAGTGGTCTTTTAAATTTTTAAGAAATAAATTTGATGACTATTTAAAAAAAATCGTTCATGAAAACATTACTGATATAAAGTTTTGTATAAGTCGCTCATTTTTAAATTAATCCCTGGATATTTTGTTTATGCATGTAGAGAGAGAATCTGGATTTGTATTTTTACAATTAAATTGCTCGTTTTTAACATTTTACAAGAAAAATCGTGTTTATTTAACCTTTTAATTAAAAAATATCTATCATGTCTAAGTTATTGAAAAAAAAAACACAAGAAACTCGGATTTCAAATAATTCAGAAACCATATATTAGTTATTCACACAAGGCTAAAACTATGATGAAATTTCAAAATAAAGGAACAGTTTTACAAATATAATAAAAAAACTTGTATTGGTTTGATTGAAACAGAGAAATGTAAAAAAAATGAGAAGATGGGAGGAGAAAGTGGAGGTAAAAGGGTGGATGTATTGGGACCTTTTTGTGAAAGAGAAGAAGAAAAAGGAGAAGAAGAAGAAGAAGAAGGAGGAGAAGAAGAAAGAAGGTGTGTCATAAATGTGATATTTCGTCGTTTAAGTGGATGCCATTTTTGATGGGGACCATTGGAGGGACCTTTTTGAAAATGAGAGCAGCACCAATCTCCAATGGAAATCCAACTATCACTGTGCTGTGGCCTTCCCAACCCCACTAACAAAAAGAAAAAAGAAAGAAAGAAAATAATGGAAGAATGTAGGATCTTAAAGAGAATCATATAATGGTTCCCATCTACTTTTTTTTTTTTTTTTATGCTTTGGAATCCCCTTTTATTATTCGTCACTCGTCACCGTATGCCCCCACTATTCAATTCTCTGTTTCTCCTCCAAAAACCTATTTCCATTAAAGTGAACATCATTATGCTCCCTCTTCTCATATTCACATGTTGCTTTTACCATGTGATCAACATTCTTAACGTGTCTCAATTTGTATTCAAAGTTTTACTTTTTCCTCTCATGGGATAAGTAAAATTATCCTTTCTAAATTTATCAGTTAAAATTATTCTCCATTTTAACATAATATCACAAAAAAACGATCAAACAAATTTTAATTCATCATAAATAAAAATAGTTCTTTTATTTATTGAAATTCAATAAGTTTTTAACACCCCTTTAAAATTATGTTACAATGTTAAGAAAAAAAATACAAATATCAAAATTAAAAACGAATGTCTTTGTTGTCAAATAAAAAATATATAAAAATAATCTTGATAAGATTATTAATATTTTTAATAATATATGGATTATTTATACTAATATTACAATTCATATAACATTTTATCTAAAAAGTTAAATGAAAACCAAACTGAAATTAATATTATGATATATGGAGTATATCTAAAATCTAAACTTCACTAAATTTTAATGTCACATTTATTTGATGATTGTACTTAATAAAATAAAAAGATAGATTTATTATTTAAGAATTTCCATCACATGATTAAAAATTCAATATAATACTTTGATACCATATTATTAAATCTGTGAAAAACCTAAATAATCTTTCAAAACCGGTTAATAAGAATTTTAACATATTTGACTACACTAAAAGTTTTATAAAGTACTTATGAATTTGAGAAAGAAAAGAAAAATAATATTTTTCACATTTTCTGCCGAATAATCTAAAGAAAAAGATAACAAAGTGTAAATAATAATTAATGATTGATAAAATGTAATAGAAGGGTTTAGAGTGCGATTAAGGGAAAGGAAAACAATAGAGAAAACGAAAACTAAATAAATATAGAAAAAAAAAAAAACATCTTTTGATCGAATAAAGCTATGAACAAACCGAAGCCTCGTTACTTCGACTTTGATTGTCTAATTTTCCTTTTCAACAAGGAACTATTTTTGAGTGAGGAAGAAAATGTATTTATATTTGTCAAAAACAAAAGTGAGAAGTCACCAATAATGTGTAAATCAAACAATGCATCCAAAATATTACTTTGTGCGCATTTGATATACTGGATATATAACACGTTCAATATGAATTTAGACTTTAAAAAATGAAGAGATATACGAAGTATAATTCAACTGTTGTCCAACATTTTCCGTCTAGTACAACCTGTAAAACTTTCCTCTCAAATGAATTTGTTGTATATATAGAGATACAGATAGATTATACATCACGATGATTACTTATAATTGAACCAATACATCTAATTAACCTTTGGTTATCAATGAAATCGATTATAGATATTATCTCTTTGACAAAAAATCTCAAAATCAATAATTTTAATTCTTATACTTAGTTGTAGAACTTATATAACACATAAACATATTTATTAAACATTGAATAATAGTCATACATTTGTATTACCATATATTATTAGTCATAATATATTTATCATATTAATCAAATAAATAGTTAGCAAATCCTAACTTATCTGGTACCTTAAAATGGAGGGAGGAGACTATCACAAATTTAATACTTAAGACACAAGTACACAAATAATTAAAAGTTTAGTAGCTCCCAAACTGCACACAGGTTAATGAACAATACAATCACCGAATGATCGTCATTAGAAAATACAAGACACCATTCATGCATGCAACGGCTAGGAAACTGTAGCATTACAAGTGTACCAACCATAAATAAGAGCAAAAGAAAATTTTGGAGGATAAAGTTAGAAAAGCAATGAGGGGAAGGAGGAAATGAACGGGTATTGTAGAATCCTTCTAACGGATCAACAGACTTTAATCCTCCTTTGTTTATGGCAGGGAGTTACACAACACATTTTACTGATAGTACATTAGGTGCTGGGTAGTCGCAACATTCTGAAACCTTGCATCATAACCAGGCCCTGGACCACCCATTCCCATGGCTACCTGTTTTAGGGCATGTTGTCCTTGCTGAAGCATAAGGGCATTTGCTCCACCCATTTTACTCAAAGCCATTTGGCGTTCATATGCTGCAAGACCAGCAAGAGAAAAGCCCGGCACATTCGCAGAAGTAGGTGGGGGAAGAGGAGTAGAGGCTGTTCCTGGAGGAGTAGGCTTGCTACCCCATGAACACTGTAAAATATCAATTAACAGGATTAGATACATTTCCAGAGCCTTTTGATAGGAGTTCGAAAGCTTAAACAATATAATAAGAATAATATTAAGATATTAATGAACAAGGGGTTCTGACATCTGAGAAATATAAATAAATTAGTTGGCTTTTTACCTCATTACATTTTAAAAAATAAAAAATTACAGATGACATCAAATTCCAGTTTAATGAAGCCATAACTCATCTTTTTTGCATTAGAAACCCCAAGAAGAGAATTCGTAGCTCGAAAAGCCATAAATAATACTCTGCTCACAACATACTGTAATTCAACATATAAATATCCTGCAAATTAGCAACATACCTTGAGAGGTTTGCCAAAGAGAATTTGAGCATTACCCATCTGTATAGCAAGAGCTGCTTCAGCATGGGTACTGTATCTCACAAACCCAAAACCTTTGTCTCGTTGCACCCTAACATCTTCAATAGTTCCGGCACCAAGAGAATGAAAATGGTGATGGAGATTAACAGAAGTAACCTGCAATTTAACATCCTAATATTGAAAACCACCACAAAGCCATTTTACAACAAACAGAACTTTATAAGACTGGGCTATACATATTTAAATACTGCTCAAGTCGCAAATCTAATTCCCTAATGTAGTAGTGAAGCATTCTACATATATGCACAAAGCTAGAAGATTGACAACATAAAAAAGGTAAAAAGTCTTGAAAATATAATCCTTGCCTCAGGAGCAAGATTGCCAACATAAACAGTGGTATATTGAGGATTCTTCTCAGGGGCGTCATCATTGGTTATTTCCTGGCCTTCTTCTACAAAAAAATAATAAATAAAAACGCAACCATAAGAAAAGATCATCTACCAAACAAAATCTACAGCCACACGACTATGATCAATTGATGGAAAAGTATCAATATAACTGCAAAAGATACAAATATTACAAAAATGCCAATCATGATGCACATACAGATAATAAACCAAAATATTATATCTATATCAGTTGCTTGAAAATATAATATTTGAAATAAATGTTTTGGTCTGATAGTGGTTTAAAATTTTCTTTCAATTCAAAATATTGTATAAAAATGGACAAGTAACTGTTTCCATCAGAAAATATTATAGATTTCACATGTAAACAGGACAAAAACATTAGAATTCAATCAACTCCAAAACAACTGCAAACCACAAAAAGTAATGTGGAAATGACAAGTCCCCCTAAAAGGAATGCAGTACAGTAAACTAATAATCTCACCGGATGTTCCATTAGTTAACTCAACGACACTTTTAGAATCCGAACCCTGCTTTTCATCACTGGCACTGGCACCTTTGGTTGCCCAATTACAACGAATCTGTCTGCTTCCTAGCCATTTTCCTGAGGGGGGGTTAAAAAATGAAACATCTAATCTAAAACAATTAACAGTAAAAAATTAAATACAATTGAAACATCTAATGCAATTAACAAAGTTATCAATGGCAGAAAGCCAAAATTTTGCTATATAAACACACCATTGCGGGTCTACTTCCACAAATTACCCTTGGCAGTGGGGTCAAAAAGTGCCTTATGTAGGCATTATGGCAGCAAGAGAACAGAAACAACAATGACAAACAATAAACGAAAATTGATGAAACAGCCCTTTAATGGACCAAATATCCCATGAAAACTTATGTTCAACGACCAAAAATGGTTATTTAATCTTCAGAAATGATAACACCCCATTATCAGATCCCCACCTATAGTGTTTAATAATGTGATAGGAATCATTTGCATAATAGATTCATATAGTTCTATCTAAAAAGGAAAGGAACTGCAAGATATGGTTATTAAAAGCTTTAAACAATTTTGGTATTACAAAAGAAAAAATATAATATTGCAACAAAAAATTGATCTTCATATGCATACTTCATAACATTCATTCATATAGATCAGATGAAGAAAGTAAAAAAAAAAAAAAAAAAAAAAAAAAAACTAGCATTTACATATTGAAATTATCTTACCTGTCAAATCATTTATAGCACCTTGGGCATCCTGATAAATTGAATCGCAAAACCAAAACATCCACCCATGAAAACCAAAAACACAAAAAGCACCAAAGACTGAGATAACAAATGTAGAAATAAGGAGATGATTTCTTGCCTGCTGATTCCGAAAAGAAACAAATCCAAATCCCCTGGAACGGCCTGTCTTCTGATCCCACATTACCCTTGCATCACTGTAAACAAAATACCATAGTTGTCATCATTATACTACAAATATAAATTTATTTTACATATACATTCATGTATCTGCACTTCTGACAAAATATCTCAAGTAGTAAACCACTTAACAAACAAGCAATGAGACGGAAAAATATCTCTAGAAGGGTACATAACAACTTACGAACAAGTAGGATATACAGAGAAGCAAGCATACAACGTCGCATCTGTTACCTCGGGACTAAGATCACCGACAAAAATATTAAAGTGACCTGAATCCAATTGAAGAGAAAAAGTCAATTTGACTTTCCATAAAACAAAGCAAAATAAAATGACCTCAGAGTCCATGGTCCAAAAGAATATAACCTGAGGTATCCTCTCTCTGGCTGCTAGCAAAAGCCCAGTTAACCTTAATAGGCTGCCCAAAACTGCAGGCAATGTGTTTTTGTGTTAAAATATTAAATTAATAAAAGTTGTACCATAACTCAAAATTAAGTTCCTGCATACATATTCCTCCCATTGAGAGTTACAATAGCAAATGCAGCAGAACTGCGATCGAAGTAGTCCACAAAGCCATAGGATGACTGCGGAAGACAATAGTTCAGAGGTCATCATGATTGAAAATTGACATGATACAAGAAGAGCATATAACATGCAAAAACATGAGTATCATCTAGCCAACGAATTTCTGATGAATACAATACTTGTCATACCCTACAAGCAGTTAACAGGAATTAAAATCCTTCATTTTATTCTACATTTGAAGATAACATTAGATAGTAAGAACAAAGATGACCTTCTCTTTCTTAATAAGCTTGCATCCTTCAAGGGCGCCTGCAGCTGAAAAAAGCTCTTGAAGAAGGGTTTCTGTAACCTTGGGATGAATGTTGCCAACATAACTGCATATACTCAAAAGTGGTTAGATATTTAAAATGAAACATAAAAAGCAAAAGATTAAGTCAATAAGCCCAAGGACAAAAAGAACTGGATTCACTTACTGCAAAAAACAGAGACCAACAGATGAAATTAAAAACATTTCAAGCTAAGTAATATCTCTTTTAGAGTCAATGAAGTGAACAAGTTACTTAAGGCACCTAAAGTGAAAAAAAAATTTGACTAGACCAACATAAACAAAAAAACAGTTCAAGATATTAATTAAAAAAATTACAATAAAATGTCTATTAACACTCACACACTGCGGCATGTACTTGAATCAAAGCCAGGTGGCAGATTTCCACTCAAGATAGGCTCTATCTGCAAAATAAAATTGTAAAAAAACAAAGAAAAAAAGGGAAAAAGAGTTCCTAAAAGCAAAAGTATACACTCATCTCTCAACTAATCTAATCAAACAAAAAACATATACAAACCATAGAAATACCTAATGTATCGACTAGTAAACAAACATCAAAACGACAAGATAAATTCGCACCACTAAAATCACACGCGCGCGCGCGCACACACACACACACATATATAGCAAAAACACAACTGCTAGTTGATCATTAGCGGGAAAATGAAGTGCAAACAGTAATCAAAGATATAGGAAGATAAAAAATTGAAGAGAATTAAGATGAAAATATAGGAAAAAGTACTATGGAGAAAGTTAAAAAGCGAAAATTAAAAGGAAGAGAGGGAAAAGCGGAACCTGAGGAGGAGTAAGGAGAGCAGGGTGGTGGTAGAGAGAGGGTTGCATCATGGCATGCTGCCTTAACCTCTGCTGCTGCATCTTCAATTCTAGGGTTAGGGTTGCAGAGGAAGAAGGAATGGGGATTGAAAGAAAATCGAAACAGAACTGAGGAACAAGAGAAAGTGAAGAAAAGAAAATAAAAGGAAAAATAAAAGGGAAAAAAAAGAAAAGAAAAAGAAAAACCCTCGAAAGAGAGGGGAAAGGAAAGAAGAGAGACAAGCGAGAAATGAAGAAGGATGGAATACTGGATTGGAGGGACCTAGTCTCAGACAAACTTCCCCTTTAAAACTAAGTTCAAAGGGTTTTCCATAAATAATAATAGAAAAACATTAATTAAAATAAAAAAAAGGGATAAGTCATAGATTTTGTTTTCGAGGTACAGTTATGGGCTTCTTTTTCTAAGCCCATAACTGAGTAAGCCCAATTAAATATCTGTTTCTTCCTACACCCCTTTATGTTGTGCCGGCACCTGCATTCCGTTCTTTTGTTTATGTACGCTTCTCTGGTTGTTCATTTGTGAAGGATAGACATTTTGAGGTGTTTCTGGGATAGGTACATTCTGCAATTTTGAACCAAATTAGGTCATTGAAATGAATTTCAATGAATAAATTATAAGAACAGATTAGAATTTGGAATTGATTTTTTCGTAAATCATCACATGATTCCAAAATCATATTTAGAATTAGTCAAAAACTACCCCCAATACATATTTCAAGTCAAGGAGACTTATAATTATATAAGCAATATAATCTAACACATTTTATGTGAAAAAAAAGCATTCCAGAATAATTAAAAATAATTTCATAATAATTTTTCATTTATTTTGTATACTAGTATACTTTAGATGAAATATGAGAAAGTCGTTTTTTTTTATGAGATTTAAAATATTTATATATTTGTGTTAATGTTTAACGTATCATATTGATGCAAGTATGACAAAAATATTATTTATATGTGACAAACATTGGAATAAAGACTTTTTTTTTTAACTCTACTGTACTATATTGAAACTACGTCTCACCAATAAACCTATTGCTAACTACTCCTAACTTTCCAAGACTTACCAAAAAAACAAAAAAATTACAACCTTTGAATGAATTATAGAAAATTAAAAGTAACTTTTGTTGTTGAACAAAAATTATAAACATATCGACATAAGTTAATGTTATCATTAAATAGATTGTTCCCTCTCTAAAAAAAAGTTGGTAGGTTTGAATTAATAGAAGGTAAAAGGGAAGAGTAGTTTTAGTTGGGTTGTTACACACGCTTTGCGGGGAGATTTTTAATTAAATTAGCAACCGAAAGCAATTATTTTTTATTTCATTTCACATGCGTGTTCCTCTCCAATACTCACTCTAGAGAACTCCTTCAATTTTCATTCACACAATATTTAATTTCCATTCATACAAGACTATATATTTAATATTAATACAGTGTAAGGTGTAAACATGCTTTTTTCTCTCTCTTTTTTCTTATAATTAAATAAAGTTGTGAAGACTTTTTTTTCATCAGAAGTTGAGTCGGTGTTGCTCACGCGTTTGAATAACTATATGGATTCTTAAAATTAAAATAAAATGATAAGATATACCATAATTTTGTTTTTCAGTGTATGTTTGGATGATTCATGATTGAACTTTATTTCAAAACTATGTGAGTTTTATTTGGTTATTATTACAAAGTAAGTTAACATATGTAAGGTGTTTATTGGTGATTTAAGGTAGAACATTTTTAGTTTAATCTTAGCTAGAAGTTTGATGCATGAATCTGGACCACAGAGAAAAAGGGGTGAGATCCATGCACTATACATTGATGGAAGGATAAACCAATTAAGTTCGCTGCCCATAACTAAATTCACGTGAAAACAATTAAAACAAATTTCCACTTTCATAATATCACCATATAAAATAATGTTTTAAACAGTTCATTTTTTTATAATAATTATTGAAATATATTTTATTTTTAACTATAATAATAAAGTTTTAATTTACCTTAATGTTTTTAATAACAAAATATTAGAGAATTCACGTAGTATAGATATAATAACTGTTTTGAAAATTAGATTCCACCGGTTGATTTAACTAGAAATAAAAAACTCATGTTAGTTTTCAAATAATTAAACAAGAACAAAATCAATAAAATAGTTAGATTTTTAGACTAAATCAGTTATAGTAAAAAATAAATTAAGATCAAATTTTGTTATAAAAAATATAATATATTTTAATTAATTTTTTATTTTATATTAATTACATTACCTTTAAATAATAATTATTTTATTATATTTGTATCTTGTTTTAATAATTATTCATTTTTTACTCATTAATATATTTTATATTTATAATTTTTATTAGTAACAATAATTTTTATTATTATTTTTTCTTTTTATAAAAATTATTATTAATAAATTTATTATATTATAAAATTATCAATTTATTAAATCTGATCCAACTTTTAAACCCTGAAAACAATATTTATATAGATTCCGTTAACGACAGATTTTAAAATCATTGGATACCAAATATATAAGTTTAATCCAAATTATTTTCTACATGTGAACTTAATTTCAACATGTATAATATACATACAATCAATTAAAATTAGATAATTTATTATATTATACTAATATTTTTCTTTCTTTTACTTATTATCTATTTTATTATTATAATTTTCCCTTAATTATATGTTATTTTTTACTCTCTTTAAATATTTTTTTACAGGTTGTTTCAAGTAAAAAAGTTAATTAAATTTTTGAAAAAATTATACTTTAAAATATAGTTTAGTCTAAATATATTTAAAAATTCATTTTAAATAATAATATAATTTAGTTTAAGTCTAAACAAAATACATATTTTATAATTAAATTATATTAAACAAAATTAAATATTTTTAAAATTATAAATAGTATATTGATTGATATGAAAAATAGTTATTTATGTGAATATTGATCCAGTATTAAATATGATTTTTTTTAAATTAATTAATTATTAAAAATGTTAAATTATACAACATTTATCATAAAAAATATATTATCTAATTAACTAAATGAATTATTTATAATTTTAAATATTTATCTTAGTTTAAAATATTTTAAAATATATAAAATATATTTAGTTTAAATATAAATTATATTATATTATTATTTAAAATAAACTTATGAATATATTTTAAATTATTTTGAAATATAATTTTAAAAAAATATTTTTAAATTATTTGTGAAAAGTTAATTAAAATAAGGAAAAAAAAAGAATAAATACACTTGAGATGAAAAGAAATTTAATAGGTTGTGATATGTTGAGTGAATATATATATTAATAACATGTTAGTATTAGTGATATATTCTATATCGTCAAATTTAGCAGGTACAAGATAGTCAAAGTTTTGGATGTGGCGTTCCAATGTCGGATGGCTGTGCAAAAACCAGGTGGTAGGAACTGCTTTAATTAATTATTAATTTGGAGACTTGTTGATTTCACATGTTCACAATTTTATGATTTATTAATATAAACAACGTAATTAAATATTTGATAATAAAATATCTTTTTTTATAATAAAATAAATAATTTAATTTTATAGATAATTATTATTTTATTTAGACTGCAAAGCAAATTTCGATCTTACAATAAAAATGGTGCAAAGAGAGCGTTACAAGTAGGAAATTTACTAAAAATTGTTATTGTCAAAATAATTTACACAGTAATTTGCAAAGGAAAGAAAAATGAGAATAATGAACACAGGAATCTGAAATACTACTCACGGTCAATATTTAGAATTATATATATTGAGCCCGATGCTTATAGTATTGTTACTAATGTTAGATTTGTCATAATCATAGTAGTATGGAAACTAAAACCGCAGAATGGTTGCAAATCAAATGTAAGAGGAAGAAAAAATCGTTAAAGCTATTTAAAACTGCAATTTCCTCAGATTTGTTTTGATTGAACACCTAATCCAAGCCAAGGCATGGATTCTCCCGCCAGCTTATTTGCAGCAGAGTTGTTGGGATTGCTTATTTGATATGGTGCTCTGGCAGCAATTCTGTAAACACAGTAAAAAAACAAAAATTAATGGATCAGACCAAAACAAAAATCCAACCATATTTCCTTGTTTCAAGAGTCTTACCTATCTTTCCTCTTCTCGAGAAACCGGTGAAGTGAAACTTTCCTCGCAATTGGAAGATCTACATGGAAATAAAACTTATGATCAGAACAAAAAATGATCCATGGTACGAATGATTAACTGTGGCCATCTCAAAACAAATAGAGATCAAAAGAAAGTACCACAAGCAATTGTTCCGGATGGTGCTTGAGGGCCTTGCTGGTAACTTGTGTGAGCATATGCAGAGTAGTTTGGGCTTTGGGACATTCCCTTGCTGGCCAATGACATTATCTGCTCCATTTTTTCAGAGGGAAAATCATTAAACACAACCACTTGTCCAGCATAAAAGATCGTCAACTGAGCAGCTTTAGGCTCTTTCTCCATAGACTTGAAAGCACTGTGGATCATTACAAAAAAACGGAACACTAATTAAGTATGCAGTCACGATTCATGATACATTAATTTTCTTACACGCAAAAGAGGACTTGAAAACTAATTAAACAAAATACAACAGCACACCTTGATTTAACCAAGGTTGGAACCTCTGAGAAGTGAGGATAAGCAGTCTGCTGAGAGAGGAAATCCACAGCAGCAGAAGGGTGGTTCCGTTGTGTCACAATGGTGGGAAATAACTCCATGGTTGTTGCAGAGTGGCACGATGTTTCAGAAGAACCTGTGAAAAACGGAGGGTCAGGACTCACGTAGAAAACTCTCAAGTTCATCGCACACCTTAGGAACACACGTGTTACAGTCCTATTACATAGCAATTTCTACACATTTTTTTCCCGTAATATTTTACAGATAAAAATCTGGACAGTTAGAATTTGTATTCAACCACGGACCACGTTTGTGGTTCACGTTTTTTATCCTCTCATCTTCCATCTCACGACATCTTTTTTGCTCTCCGGATAAAAAGGGAAATTGTACACTAGATCCGTTTTCACATTTCCAATATAAATTGAGCAATTAAATACGTTCGAAAACAAAGAACCGAAACAAAGTTTACTCTAAACATGAAATAACCCACAGTTTCACGAATTGGCTTCCAACCAACAGAATGATGTTAACAACAAACAAATGATGAAATAATAATAATAATAATAATAACATGAAGAATAAAAGGGAAGAATTTAGGGTTAATTGGGAAATAAAATGAAATCAATACCGTTTGCTTCGACGGTGCATGTCATCCCGAGGGTAAGGTCTCCGAAGGTACCCTTTTCCTTGAGGTACTGGCTCAATAGACTGCAAGTCTGAGAGAACGTGGACTTCTCCGGCGGCGACTTGGCCGTCCGGTTGCCGGAAAATCCTGAATACTCCGACGAGGTCGACATTTCAGCAGTAAAAAGTTAAAGCAACGCAGAGAACAGTAATCGGAAACGGTTGGTCGCAAAACTGTTGTTTAAGAAGACAGGAGCGAGGAGAAGAGAGAAACGAGACGACAGGGTTGGACGATGGAAGAGGTGGATGTGTTGTAAGTTGTTTAAGTTGGGTTTGTTGAGTTATATATAGTGGTTACAATTTTTAATTGGAAAGAGGAGGGAAAATGAAATTGAAGCACGAGGAATAAATGGGTTTTGTTTTTTAATTGTTTGGGTTGTTTGCTTGGTTGCCTGCTATGACCTAGAAGCAGGCCTTGGAAAATGTAGGAGTGGACTTTGACATTGCTTTATTATATTGTTTTATTTATTGTAATTATTCCACGTGTTGTTTGTTAGCGTTGGTGAAACGGCAAGCAATTGCGTGGGTGAGTGTCATTAACTGGCTCACAGCTCACAGCTCACAGCAGAGGCAAGAATCACATGAAGAAACCGTGTGTGTTCAATTATTATAGGAGTGTATATTTTGTATATTATAATAGTAATAAAAAAAATACAATGGTATTTTACAATTATAGTGAGAAACTAAAAATGGAATGTTGTGTATAAAGGAGAGTGGGAGAGGGAAGTGGTTTAGAAGTAAAAGAGAAGAAAAGGAGAAGGAAGGGTAGTTGGGGTTGAGCCATGTGGTTTTATAAGGTTTGACATTATTATTGTTGATTTGATTGTCACGGGTGAAGAAAGATGTGATGTTAAGGGAGTGGTTCAGTTCAGGTCCCCTTCGTTTATACTTTTCCACAGCTACCTTCCATTCACGCATTCATTGTTTTTACTTTTATACACCCACGTGATATTCGTGTTCATCATCCGCCTTCATAATTTTATTATATTTTTAAATCATATTATCGGATTTTTTTTAAATTAATAATAAAACAAATTTCAACCTAACATCTTCAAATATTAAATTACAGTCTTTCATAATTTTTCTTATTTTTTATTATTTCTATTCTATATAACTTAAAACTCATTTGCATTGTTCACTCATATCAATTGTATCACAATAATTTAAATATTAATTTAATTCGAATAAAAATATTTCTATTCATTTTTAACAAAATGTTTATTATATATTTTCTATTTATTTTTATTTGTATAGAAGATTTTTTTTTCCAGAAAAAAAACTTCATCATTTATTTAAATCAGATGAAAATTTAATAAATGTGTTTGTCTAAAAAAATGTTTTAATAGACGGTAATGTTACATGGAAAAAAATTTAATAGCGCTTAAACTTATTTAACTTCTTTTCACTGTATAATTAAATATATAAATTAAATAAAAACCAAATTTAAGCAGACAAAATATCTAGTAAAAAGAAGTTGATTCCCCTGCAAACCTTTAAAGTTATCTACTTGTTTTGTTTTTATTTTATGAGTGAAATTTGGTTGTTCTATCTACCTCGGTTGATAGGAAACACACAAATTTACTGATAAATATTAAAAGTTAATAATGCACGTCAATTAATATCAACATTATCAGAATTATATATATTTATTTATAGTTTAAATAACTTTTTATTTATCGTGAATGTGTGAATTTTACATATAATTTTTCATAATTTTTTTCTCTTTCATAAAACTTATTTTTCATTTTGGTTCTTATTTGACATCTATTACGTGGTTATCTAAAAAAATTTATAATTTGATCTTTTATAAAATCTACATTTTTATTTTGTTTTTATTGACATTTTAATTAGGTATGTATTCTTTAAGAAAAAATCAATATTATAAACAAATATTTTCATTAAGGTCTGTATTCGTTTTGTACCTTTCGGTCCTCCCAATTTCATGGTTAAAATTACGTTTGAGAAGAGAAATGGGAAGTGTGTTGGCTTGTAGAGTTAATTTAGGGTTTGAGAGATTTGGGTACGGAAGGTTGTGGGTAAGTAAGCCACTCGTGCATCTCGTGCTTATTACCTTTATTGTTTTTTACTCCTGCAACATTCCTGCCTGAGGCAGATAAAAGAATTAAAGAATATTTTGTGCTGAAAAACAAACAAGTCCTATCGTAAACAGGTTGTGGGTTGGACCAATCGAGTGCCATCAGACTTTAGATAAAATGCAAAATAAAGTGTGTATGCAACACAAATTGAAACTAGAAAGAGAAAAGTAACGAAAATAGAAATGCATTTTGTTTGAGTTCCCATTGTACATTAGTGTTAGATGAGCTTTTTAACATTTAATAATACTAGGAATCAGTGTTGGATAGGTGGCTTTTTAACATGCGTGTCCCACCTTTTTAAGTACTAGTTACCCAAGTAGTCCAATTTACACACTAATTATCGACCCTTTGACCCTTTTCTATAAGGTGTTGGGGCATTCTACACGAAACTATCATCCAGTTATTATTGACTTACATTTCAGAATGATGTTAGAAAAAAAATCATATAATGTTGTGGCTTATCAATTGAAGCTGCATTATCTGCTTCTACTATTATGATGACACACCACTTGCATTACTAGGTTTTGCAGTTATTTTTACATTGACGTAAGAGGTATGTATTACATGCTGAGATAGCGGGAATACACTACTCTTTCTCAGCAGAAAAATGACACCATAATCACAAATCCCAAGTGTGAAGTAATTCTCTAGCTTGCAATAAACCCATTTAAAGCATGAGGACTGGGGCACACGCACTAAGCGATCGTGTAATCTAGTAAACTTCCGGAAGCATATGAAAAATGTTCTGTATTTACAACTCTTCTTCAGAAAGCTATAAAATGGAGTAGGCAAGTGAAATTACAAAATAAAAAAAAGAAAAAAAAAAAGTGGGACTTGACTTCTCCAACTTCCTCAAAAATATCTAATACAGACATAAATTGAGGCCTGAGTAAAAGAAACAAGGCCAGGAACTAGTGAAGGTGACACCTCAAAAATCATAATCTATATCTGTCACATTCTGGGACGCAGAACGCTTAACCAGCTGTCCATGCTCATTGTACAGATCAAGGTTTTCACAGGGAGCAGGAAATATGGTTCCTATTACACGGCCTCCAACAAAGGCACACTGAAAGATATGCTTCTTCTTGTAGGTTAGACCAACTGACATGTCTCGAAAGGTCACATTTTTCACAGGAATTTCTTCACTACCGTGTATACGTACTGGCACACGAACCCCTTGGCCATGGATTGTGGTAAAGCTTATGTCTCTGAGAATTGGGAGTGCCGTAGGGTCATACCCATCATCAGGGTGTTCATTGTAATCTGTCTTCATCACAATTCCAACACGGACATTCTGAAATGTTAGATTCCTATAAGTTATATGGCGCACATATCCTCCTCGTCCAGGGGCGGTCTTGATCCTCACACCACGCCTAGAATTCCATACAAGAAGATTCTCCACTGTGATGTTGGATACCCCGCCAGACATCTCACTGCCAATTGAGATGCCAGCACTGCTCCATTTGATAAAAAAATTATCAAGATATGAAGACCCCAATACATATTATACACAGACACAAACTCATAAGCAGTAGTCAATGTTAACTATGATTTATGCACAGATATGTTAACTAGAAATAGTGTCCAATTATATCTAGGATCATCAATTGGAAAAGTTGCCTACAGTCAGACAAAACCCTTAATTTACTTGGAGCCTATCAACCACATTTTGTAGAGATCCCATGAGTGAGGTGATTTCAAACAACAGCACAAATGACACTTGATTTCATGCTGGTGGTAGAATAAACCAATCTTAAAGCTAAATCAGGCATGCCAGAAAGGCAAACATGTATAATGCTGCTGGTTGCTTGATGATAAGTAGAATTGCAAAGCTTAGTGTACACTGTACTGCTAAAAGTTCAGGCGATAGATAAAGATAAGACATGAAACCTGAGATTCCATGCGGACAAGAGAAAAAAAAAAAAGTTTCATTCAAACACAGACCAGAAGCTACACATGGCACATAAATAAGTTATTTGCAGTTAGGTTCTTAAATATTGCAGGCATACATAAAAGCAGTTATTTTCATTCGTTTGGAAAAGCATAAATTATGGGAAATAACCCAACTTTAGAAAGCTCTCTCGGGAAGTTTCCTGATGCAAGTGATTATTTTCCCAAATAAAAAGATGCCGAAAGGCATGCAGAATTATAAATTGTTTTGAGTTAGGGATTCACCTGACCAAAGAGCGAACAACAAGGTTTCGGATCATTATATTCATGGAAGGCCTTCCATATGAAATTCCATACTGATCCCAGCCACTTTTTATTGCAATTGCATCATCTCCCACACTTATGTAACAGTCCTCTATCAACATGTCCTCACAAGAGTCTGTTCATACCACAGAACGTAGTACTTATTAAAATTCTTCGCACAAACAATAAGATTATATGAACATTCCAATAAAATTTAGATTCCTCTCACGTAGATAATTGAGTAAAACCGGTGCCAGATAAATTGAGTGTATTTCGTTTGTGCATAAACAAAAATCTCGCACATGTTATGCAAAACTAAATTCCAAAATCAATAATTAATCACCCACATGTTTGAAACACATTTCCCAAAAATCTGACATCTCGCATAAGCTTACCCAAAAAAGAAAAAGAAAAAATATACTAATTATTGCATTCCTGCCAATGTAATAACATTCCCACTGAATCAATAAGTGGTTTCTTTGTCATTGCCAACTATCAACATGAAGCTCTCCTGACCTCATTGTCAAAATCTATTACCTTAATGATAGATATATAGAAGTAATCAGCAAATTATAGACCATACATTAAGATATGAAAAAAAGTTTTGTATTCAGTAGAAGATACTTGCCAGGATCTATGCCATCAGTGTTTGGAGCTTCAAGCACAGGAGCCAATATAGTTACACCTTTTATTGTAATGTTTTTGCAGTCATATGGATGAAGTGTCCAGAAAGGAGAGTCACGCAAAGTAATATTAGTGATCACAATGTCACTAGACCACATGATCTGAACAAGTGGCCCCCTAGTGTGGTTGAGTCGCTTCTGGCGATATTTTTTCCACCATGCTTGTCCTTGACCATTTATGGTACCATTATGCCCTGTCAGTTATTACAATAGATGAAATCAAATAAAGTTATAATTAAGCTTAAGCAACACATAATGTAAGGGGGAGAGGGAGATAAAAAAGGAAAATGTTGCTGTGCTAGCGTTGCTTATCCTGATAATGATTGCCTCCTAATTACTGTATTTACGTCCTGGTCACAGATTTCTCCTTCAATGGGGTTATTTAATTAATAAGTCTATGTTGCACCAAAATTGATGTGAATCATGAAATACTTTTGTTATGCTAAGCCTTTTACATTTATGAGGTATAGAGATCAAGGCAATTTATCAATGACCAACTAAAATACATCAAGGAAGAATTAGAAAATGTTAAAGCAATTCAACTCTCTTCAAATATTGAAATATTACTGACAAAAATTAATATCAACACTTAAAAAAATAATATTTAACAAGGAACTATTCCAGTTGTTGTTCACCAAAAGCTTCAGCCTTTGCACATATGTCAAAATCAAATCAACTTTAAAGGCAGGTTTGGACAATATTATTTTAATTTTGAGAATCTAAAAGACGATTTTCCTTCTTGTTCCTTGAAATGCAACAATTAGATCGCATTTCAAGTTAAAGACTTCAATATGCTTACAATGACATTGGATACTAAGTGAAAAAAGAACTCAGGAAGAATTATGACTTTTGTACTCCTTCACACACTGGAGGCATGATGAAAAATACTCACCTGTTATCACAACATCTTTAAGATTTTGACCATGAATCAAACTGCCATATCGAGGCCCAGGATGCTCCCTCCCATAACCATATGAAGGCAATGGAGCCATCAATGGCCAATATGTTTCATCCTGTTATCACAAAAGTGCCAAATATAGTAAGTAAAATGTTTAAATATGAGAATGGAAGGGATATGTAATGAAAGAAATATATTTATCAAGGAGAAAGACAAAACTACAAATATAAGTAACTATAATAGAAGAGTTCAATGATAAGGAAAAAGAGATTGCTAACACTCCTCTCAGCAGAATACATAAACCGGTGATAATTAACTGGATCATAGATATTCAGTTCAACTGTCCAAATTCTACCACTCAATGCCAAGTACACAGTGTAGACCTGTACGTTAACTTCTGAAATGTTCTATGATGGGTACTCATGTTTCCAACTGTTGATATACATTATACAGAAATCTGGGTGGTATGAAGAAATTCAGCAAACCAGAAGATTGACTTTAGACAAAATATCATTAATCCTACCATATTGAACTCTCAGAAGCAGTTTAAAGAATTATTTTTTTATTCTTGCTCCAAGCTTGATCGTTACTCTTGTATTGAATTGAAGTATATGTGTGCCAGAAAGGAAATTTACAGAAAACAGCAATACAGCAACAACATATCCTTTTCCCACTAGGTAGGGTCAGCAACACAGATTGTACCACACCAAAAGTTTTATCATGCATTAAGTGAAAAGACAAACCATTTTACCTCTAAATCTCTCTTAATGATTTGGCCTATAGTTTTCCTAGTTCCCCCACCATATCTAACCATTGAACTATCTTCTTTATGGTAAATGTTCCTCACTGGTGCTTCTTCAAGTCTTCTCCAAAATGTGCTTAAACCATCTGAACGTGAAATTCTACCATTTTTTCCCTATAGTGGGAAGTACACAAGCTTTCTCTCTAATGATTGTCTTCTTAATCCAATCTTGTCTTCTGTAAAAACTCAATCGTTGTAACATTATCACCTTTGTGACATTTAGCTGAATTTTTTACTGACTCTTTACTACCCAATATTCAGTCCCGTAAACATTACAGATGTTATGCTTCCGTGATAGAATGTCCCTTTAAGCTTGTGTGGTACTTTTCTATCATATATCACATCCCAAGCATTGCTCCATTTCATGCAACCTACTTAAATGTTGTGGTTGACATCACCCTCTATCTCCCTATCATTTTGCATGATGGACCCAAGCTATTGTTGTATTCATGCTAGAATAAAGTCGAAGATTATTTCAAAAAGAAAAATTGTGCCATACAACTGCAGTCACAATAGCCAAAGTGTCAAACAACGACCACCTAGCCTTGAAAAAAGCTATAATTGACACAGCAGTTCCACCCTCACAATACATCATTTTTTTAGCTTCTTCAACATTAAACAGGTTAGTGCATTATGTCTTCAACTCTGAGCATGAGATATCCAACCATATTCTTCATGAATAGACAACATCTAAAAAAAGCCTTATGCCATTAGGTAAGGTCAGCTAAATAGATCACACTACGATATTCGACCAGGTTAAAGACCAATTTTTCAGAAAAATTCTTTACTTCTAGATCCCTCGTAACAACCTGCCGCAATGTCCTCTCTCTCTCTCTCTCTCTCTCTCTCTCTCTCTCTCTCTGTAGTTTCACAACACTAAAGATAATAAAATCTACTCTCTTCACTACTGTTTCTTTACGAGTAGAAACCACCTTAACAACTTCCCTCAACATCCTCAATAATTATGCTTAAAAATAATAACACACAGCACAAAATAAACAGTGAGTTAAAAAATGTAAAAAAGGAGAGAAAGAAAACTGACATCAATGCCGAGAATAACAGCATCTTGAGCTAGAAACAGAGTCATGTGGCTGGTGAGATTAAACGGCGCCGTAAGCCAGCGTCCGGGAGGGACGTTTAACTGCGCACCGCCTTTCATGCCAAACTTCGAAATCGCCGAAACGGCCCTCTCGAAGGCCTCGGTGTTGAGAGTGATGCCGTCACCTACACCTCCGAAATCCGTCAAATTGAAGGCGGCGGGGCGGAGCTTGGGCATGGGCCTGGCCGGAGGAGCGCCGAAGATGAGGAAGCTGCCGACAATGTTCCTCTGCCAGAGGAAAAGGGAGGCGAAGACGCCGATCCAGAGGACGGTGAAGAGGGTCTTGTGGGAGGTGAGGAAGGCGGGGAGCCAGCGGCGAAGGTCGAACCTTTGGTGGTGGAAGCGCCCTAGCGTGGAGGTCTCCACCATTTTGCGAAACGGGGTTGGATTTGGCAGGTCGCGAAGACGTGGGTCAGCGAGAACTCATGGATTCGTTTGGTGGGAAAAGGAGGGTTGGAAAGAAATTGTTGTAGACAATGAATTTGATTTGGAGTGAATTGAAAGGGAAGGTGGAAGAGAAGACGGTGAGAGTGGAAGTGGAAGTTGGTTCCGGTGACAATGATTGTACAACAACAGTTGCTTCAAAATGTATAACAGCGTAACATTTCACACGATCGATTGATGAATCGTTGAATGGGTTCTTCCTTTTTCGTGTTTTTACAACTTCTATGTCCCTTTTCTTACCTGTTTCATCTACTTACACAAGTTAGAGATTTAAATTACTGGGTCCAAGGTACATTAAATTTTTTTCTTTGTGTAATCTGGTGTAGTGAGTAAAATAAATATATCTTTATTTATATATTTGTATTTATTTGATGTGTAAATTTTGTTGTCTAATGTATTTAATTTTAAATTTTATGATGAGATCATTGAAATTAGAATGTTGAAGAAGATTGTCAGATGGTTATTTTAGATTTATGATTAGATTGATCAAGGTCACTATTTCAAACCAACCAAATCAAGTTTAAGTCATGAATATGAGATTTTAGATTTATGTTCATGTAAAGAAATTCTTATATAAAAGATTGTATTTAATATAATTTTCAGTTTTCTATTTTTTTTATTTTCTTTTATCTTGTTAGGATTACTAAATATATTAATTTGTTGACGTGTAAATGTAATATTTGGTAGTGTACCTTGGATAAAAAATAAATAATACATACAAAATTTAAAAATTTAAATAAAACAAAACAAATTAAAAAAATAATATTTATACCTACGTTAATATAAAATACAATATTCATAATATAAAATAACAATAAGTGGAGATACAAATTTTAAAAATATACGGTAACTCGTTTCAAATTAACTTCATATTAATTTGATTTAGATTGGTAAAAAAATAAAAATACGACTAGTTATTAATTTATTTAAAGGGTTATTTTTCTAAACGCAACCTCTGTATATAAGTATTAGATAAGAGATTAAATAACAAGAAAAAATATTACAAATATTTTTATTATTTTAATATAATATTTTTAATGATAATATTTACTTATTGACAGACACACTTGATGTGTAGAATAGAAATTTGTTAAAATATTATTATTTTGCTTTAAAATTAAGAAGACCTTGATAAGTGATTGATGAATGTGGTATGGATTATTATCCTCTACCCTTCTTCACGTTTAGATATACATTTTATTTTTTTATAAAAAAATAAATTTTTTGAGAGTTTATTATGATAAAATAATTAGAGTATTGTTAGTTTTGAATTTTTTTATCATAATTTTTTTAAATGATATTTTAATAGATTAAGAAAAAAATAATATTTATAGATTATTATTATTCTTTATTTTTAAATAATATAAAAATAATATATATATATATATATATATATATATATATATATAACTTCTATTCAAAAACTAAAAGTTCAAAATTAGATGTATTATAAGTGTTAAATGCTTTTATTAGGATGGTTGAAACTATGAATAAAAGGATAGAAAATCAAATTATTATAAAAATGATAACTCTAAATATGGGATATATATAGAATTAGTTAAAAAACATATTTCAACTTAAGTTAGCATTGAGTGTATAGTTATGGAAGAAAATAATAATGAGGATTACTTTATATGATTAAGGTTATTTTTTATAAAATTGGACTAACTAGTTTCAATCACTAGTAGGATTTGATCATAGGTGATTTTTTGTCTATTTTTCTAAAGTGTCATATCTTTCTTATAAAAACATATAAAGGAAATTCACTATTTTTTTTGTTCAATCACCCGAAAAGAGTAAGATGTTTCGTTTGTTCTTTTTTTAACAATTTTTTATATCTAGTAGACCTATTTATAGGATTCGAAACCAGATGAAATTCTGACCATCTGTCAGATTAAAAAAGAATGAGTGATTCTGTATCAATAAAATCTCATCATCCATAAATAACGAATTAGTGTGGTATATTCAAATAATAACATATAATTAAATGATCTAATAGTCTTAAAAGGAACCTTGTAAAAAAATCATCAAAATATATCCACCTATCATATCTAAACTGATAAAGAAATTAATTTAATTACTAAAAAGGTCCAAAACGAATTACTAAACAAATTATAAAAAGAGTTTCAACACGGTAGACACAAATTTCACTAAATATTTCATTTGAAAGTTTAATTCAAAGATTTTTGTTGGAACATTTTAGTGTTTATCACGATGACTCACTGGAACACTTTTTGATGACTCTAATCAATATATTCTTTTTAAACAACAAGATTTTCAACCTTGATGTCCACTAATATTGCTATAGACGGTCAATGATGATATTACACTCTCATTTTTTATAATACTTCAAACTAATATTGCTATAGACAATCCATGATGATATTACACTCTCATTTTTTTATAATATTTCAATAACAATGTGGGAGGAGTCAAGAGTGAAACACAACTGAAAAAGATTTATCTTTACGAACATAAATTTACCTACTATTTCATTTTTACATCTATCTTATGCAATTTTATTCTTCAACTATAATCTTAGAATTTCAAAGTCAACATTCAAATATTAAACATTTGAGATGATACGATATGATATGACGTAATACAATACAATCTGACATGATTAAACTTCATTTGACAAGATATAATACAATGCGATGTTACACATGATACGACATGACATAATATGATAAGATGTGAGACAATAAGATATAACACAACACCATAAAACGTTATACAATACAATATAATATAATAAAAAAAAACAATATTAAGTCGAATATTTAATGATCATTATTCTCAATCATGTTGTCAACATGACATGATGTAAGTTTGACATTTATGAATCACATTATCAAATGAACTTGAAGGCAAAAATCTTTCAAATATTACATAAAATGTAAAATATTATTCAAAGGTAAATTTTTTTATAAAATCAATCTTCCTCCTCTACAATTTTCCCATCCATCATTAATTTGGATAGGCTAAATGTCTCTAGACTCTAATTTACAATATTTTCACCTCTTAGACTCTAAATCAAAAGTTGTGTATTGATCATGCCCAACCATATGTAAGGATTGGTATATAAATGTGTTAGATGACTTTTGGTTTCAATTTAGTCTCTTCACCTCTTAGGTTTGAAATTAAAGGTTATGTATTGATTAATCCTAATTATCCATAAAATTCTACCTATAAAAGAGTCTTTTTTTTTTTTACTCCCTTTAAAGTACTCAATCATTATCATTATGTCAAGTGTTAAGAGGAATTCATACAACTAAATAGTCACGCAACGATTTTCTTCCTTACACCTGCGACAGTTGCCAACGAGTTTAATTAGTAAAAGAGTTTGGAAGGAGTGAAACTTTCGATTAGGGTTTTGCGAGTTATAGGAAAGGGGTTAAGGTTGTTCTTCAACTGAGGGTTATCATGCTCCGCTTTGGTCGAAGCATTGTAGCAGGAATACTAGCTTAAAACCAAGCCTTGCTTTGGATACCCTCTGTTTCATTTTTGTGTGACTTACAGAATGAAATAGAGCGGCATAGAGTCCTTGTAAGAAACAAGCAACATCCATAGTGAGCCCTAATTGCAAGTTCTCAACATGAAAGCCATTTGTCTCCATTCTTCAGCATTCAACACTTGAAACAAGGCAAATTCTCAGTAACTTTTTAGTTGTTGTGATTCTTGTTTGTTATGCATTTCTCTAGTGCCGATTTGTCTTCCCCTTTGGGTTTGCCTGCTTTCTATTCACAAAGTTATAGTCATGTAGAAGCTTCAAAGTTGGAAGCTTTGGTTGTTAAGTTGAACCCTAAGGTCGTACATAGTTGTGTTTAGATTCTGGTAGAAACCCATTTTTTACTCTATGTTAAGTTTCGGTTGGTGTCACTGAAGGGGATTACAAAGATGACCAGGAAAAAGGGTAGCATGAGAGTAGGGGACAACATTACCCATGGAAGAGATTGGGAGAGAGGTGTTGGTGGAGGGCAGTTGGTGGAGCTACGGTGTGGGAATCGAAACAAGAGTTTTGGGGGGGGGCATTTGAGGCGTGTCTTAAGCTCCTCAACATCGTATTTCTTCACGAAGATTCCGGAGCCACTTGAGATCGGTACTCTATGGAAAGTTTTCCGGCGGTGGGGTAAGGTGGTGGATGTGTTTTTACCCAAGAAACTTGATAAGGTAGGTCGGAGGTTTGGGTTTGTCTGTTTCACAGATGTTTGTAATGCGGAGGCGTTGGAACGGAGGTTGGGATCAATCGTGATTGGTATGAAACGACTGAAGGTGCATTTGAGCCGTTACACTAGGGGTCCTGCGACTGCAGTGAAATCACATTGGTTCAGGGAGGGAGTGGTTAGGCGATCAGGTGTAGGTGGTTCTTCATATGCAGATGTTCTGCGAGGCCCTCAGGCTTCGTTGATGGAGAAAAATCCGACGGTGGTTAGGGTTGAGGGAAAGCGGCCAGAACAACCTTGGTGTCCCTTACACTATGCAGTGGAGGAGCCATTTCTTGAAGAGTGCTGTCAGACTCTTGTTGGCTGCCTCAATCGCGGACTAGACTTGGCTACGGTTAGGAAGGAGGTGTTACAGGAGGGCTTCTCAGATATTGTTCTGACCATGATGGGAGATCATAAAGTCCTGATTGAGTCGGATGCAGGGGTGAACCTGGAGGATACTGTGTTGCTGAATATGAAGCTTTGGGAGCGTTGATTGTATGAAGCAGGTTGGTGGCATCCAAGGACAGGGGTGTGTGTTCATCGGGAAACTTGGGTCCGCTGTTATGGGGTGTCGTTACATGCATGGTCTGAGACATTTTTTAAGAAGATGGTGTCATGTTTGAGGGACTTTATTTAGGTGGATGAGGTTACGAAGCGGAGGAGGAGACTGAATTATGGACATGTTCAATTGCGTACATCCGCATCAACGTTGATAAA